TTATTTTTTTTAAAGGAAAAAATCCCCTTCTCTTTTTTTTTTTGAAAAAAAAAAAAAAAAAATATATATATATATATATATATATATATATATATATATATATATATAGTTGGATGCATAGAAAAATACTTGCGTGCTAGATGAGTCTTGCTCAGAATATGTTCGACACTAGTAGTGTAAAATTTTAATCAGATCCAATATTGTTGATTCCATGTATAAAACACGTTATTAATATCTTGAATAAATATTGCCACAGGAGTACTTAGATCTGGGAAAATGGATTCCAATTGTTCCCTTCAATAGTTGTCAATGTAGGCAATGTTATTCGAGCAACTTTTAACATCATATGCCGGAAAGTTATTCAAGTTCTATTATTCATTTCGGTGTTTGTCGATGTTAATTTTAATTTGTGTATAGTTTTTGACACTCGCTTTTGAACATTTCTAAGTCTTGAAAAAGATTAAGTTCAAGTGCAATTCTACAATATCAAAGGGAATAAGCCGTCACCCAATTTTTTTTTTGCTTTCTTTCTTTTTTTTTTTTTTTTAAAACTCGTGCAGTGACAAAAAAGGTCGAACCAATGCTATATTTCACTGAACAAACTAGAGAGCCACCGAAGTACAGAGAATTTGTGTACAAGGATTATTAGGCTTTGAGGAAAAGAAACTTGACTCATCCACCACGAAGAAAGGAAAATGTAATCAACATAAATCATTATGTAATTTTCACACAATTCTCAGACATAAACTAGTGGATAATTACGTGACCTCTTGCTTGTATATGTGAATTTGTACACTGATCGATGTTTTTATTGTAATTATTTTGAAGATTGCATTAAATGTGAAATGGGATTTTATATATTAATGGGTATAAATTGTGGGACTAACAATGGAGTCCATCATTCTAGGATTCTTGGTTTGTGTCTTAATTCTTTTTCTAAAAAAAAATTAATCTAGAATGAAGATGATAATCAGTTTATATCGAAAATTACGACTTTTGACCCAACCAACGCCTAGAGGGGGGTGAATACATGTTTTATGCAGAATTTAAATTCATTAACTAATAAAAGCAACAAGTCACAGTTATTAATTAATTCAGATGAGTTCACACGCACAATTATCCTTAAAATCATCATCACATATTTTACTAATACTTAAAAAGTTCGACTTTAAACACTTCACATAAAGCACATTTGAGATAATAGGCAATCTAGATATTTTGACGGTACATTTAACAATGATAAGTACACTGACCCTATCTCCAAAAGTAATCTTAGAGCAATTCTAATCATCAAGAGTAGAGAACAAAGCTTTATTTCCACACATATGTCTAGAACACGTACTACCAAGATACCACATAGAGTCATTTTGAGCTTTATGAGCAACA